AACTGCCGTTGCAGCAGCCCGAGAGCTGGTAGCGGAGGCAGCAGCTGCGATGGTGGTCCGTAGGCGAGGAGAACGGACCGGTAAGGAGAAGCAAGAGGGGATACTCGTGTCCACACAGCCGCAGTGCTGGCGGAGATGCGCTCTGTCGCAGAAGATCCGCAAGCACCCAAGTTGATGTTGCGGTTGTACTCATTCTGCTCAGCCTCCGTGCCGAGCAGTTGGCGGCCGCTGTGCCACCGTGCGCCGAGCCTCTGTGCCCAGCCAATCACCACGGCTCGCGCAGGTGCCCATGGTGCCAGCCAACGTATCGAGCGTAAGCCGGAAATGCTGTGCGGCAACACATCTCGCTTGTGTGCCGCACCAGCTCTCATGTCGGCCTCAGTGCCGCACTGCTCACTCCGTGCACTCACCGGTCGGTACCATGTCAGGAGACGGAACACGGAGGAGCAAAAACGGAAGGAGCTGTATAGGTCACTAGAGACCCACACCATCGCTACATCACCACAACCACCAAGTCGGATACAAGTCGATGACAATGTGCGCGGCAGGGCAAACCAAACATGAGACGGTTACACAAGGACGGTCAGGCTACGGTCAGGAAGTAGGTTTGAGTTCACACTCTCCAACAGACAGGACACCGCCCCAGGAGCGGGAGCAAGTTAATGGCGTGTCCGGCACCCATCCACCTGCTCCGCTTCCCGCAGTGGCAAGGCAGCGATGCGCACGCACACCTCGCCGGCGGCCGAGCCGCGGCTGCGATCGTCGAGAGCGTGCTCCAGCCCTCGAGCGTCTCTGCCGTGCCAATCTTTGAGGCGGAAAACAGCTGCGATCCAGGCGTCGATGCGAAAGGGCAGTCGCAGTGTGTCCGCCACTTGGAGGCCATCACGCGCCAGGCGCGGGTGGCACGCGCTCAGCTCGACGAGCTGCCGCCGTCCGCACGCGTCTTCACGTGCGGCGGCGACTGCGGCGTCGAGGTGGTGCCCGTGGCGAGGGCCAGCCGGTTGTGGCCAGGCCTCGCTGTCGTGTGGTTCGACGCGCACGCGGACCTCAACACTCCCGCTTCCTCTCCGAGCGGCCACTTCCACGGCATGCCGGTCCGCACGCTGCTCGGCGACGGCCCGCCAGAGCTGCTGCAGCTGCTGCCGTCGCGGCTGGAGCCGTCCCAGCTCATCTATGTCGGCGCGCGCTCGCTCGACCCTCCAGAGCAGGACTACGTGGACTCGCACGCCGTGACGCTCCTCTCCGCTGAGCCGGCCAGCTCCCTCCCGGACAGGCTCTCCGCCGCCCTCCGCAAGGGCCGCTTCGGCGCAGCGTACGTGCACGTGGACCTGGACGTCCTCGACCCGTCCTCCTTCCCGCACGTCTGCTGCCCTGCGGAGGGCGGCCTCGCGACATCCACGCTCGTCGCCGCCGTCGCCGCCGTCGGAAGCGCCGTCCCCGTCGTCGCCGGGGCGGGACTCACAGAGTGCTGCGGCGACCCGGAGCCGTCCCGCCCCGAGCTGGAGGCGGTCGCTCGCGCACTGGCGGAGCTGTTGCTGCCGCGGCCAGATCCGCCCCCACCGGCTCCCATGTCGCTGTCGCCGCCCGCCTGGCCGGCGCACTACCGGCCCATCGCGCACGAGCCCTTTGGCGACGGCGGCCAAGCCACGCTCGACACGCTGGCGCGGTACGTCGAGGCGGATCAGCCAGTCGTCCTCACCGGCGCAGACATCGTCGACGTGGAGCGCTGGTCGGACAACGCAAAGGTGGAGGCGCTGCTCGGCGACAAGGCGGTGCTCGTCAAGCGCGCGCGCGGCCGACGCTTCCGCTACTGGGCGAACGACGATCCGGGAGCGCGGACCGCGCCGGGCGGCGGCGGCGGCGGCGGCGGCGGCGGCGGCGCGTTTGGGTTTGAGCCTCCGACGGAGGAGGCGTCGCTCTCGTTTGGCGAGTTCCTGGCCGAGGCGGAGAGGCTCGCGGCCGGCGACTCGGCCGAGCGGCTCTACCTGCAGGAGACGATGAGCGGCCACCCCGAGCTGGCGGAGGAGTTTCGGAGCTGGAACTGGCCCTTTTTGCTGCAAAACTCGAACCGCCACCGATGGGGGCTGCCCGACTCGAACGAGCTTTTCATCGGCATGCAGGGCGCCGAGACGGACGCGCACTACGACGAGCGGCACAACCTCTTCTTCCAGGCGACAGACACCTAGACACCTCCTAGACACCTCCTAGACAAACCTAGACCACCGAGCGGCACAACCTCTTCTTCCAGGCGACAGACACCTAGACACCTCCTAGACACCTCCTAGACAAACCTAGACCACCGAGCGGCACAGCCTCTTCTTCCAGGTGCGCGGCCGCAAGCAGCTGCTCCTCTTCCCCTTCGTCGAGTACGAGAAGCTGTACCCGTTCCCCGTCACGCACCCGTGCGACCGCCAGTCGATGGTCGACGTGGCGCGCCCCGACCTCGAGGCCTTCCCCGCCTTCGCGACCGCCTCGGGCCAGTACACGACGCTGCAGCCGGCCGACCTCGTCTTCCTCCCCTACGGCTGGTTCCACTGGCTGCGCAACGACGACGCGCTCTCGATCTCGCTCTCGTTTTGGAGCCTCTCGACCAAGAAGGAGCGCGTGCCGGACGTCTTCTCGGCGCACGACCTGACGCTCGTCAGGCGCAACCTGGAGAAGCACATGGCGGCGCGCTTCGGCGCGGCGCTGTTCCCGCAGCGCATGCGCCGGCTGCTGCGGCTGATCGACGCCGGCCCGGGCGGCGAGACGAGCGACGGCGTGGTGGGAGAGGTGCTCGCCGAGGCGCGCACGCTGCTCGGCGCTGTACAGGTCGCCGACCCCGAGAAGCAGGACGAGTTCCTGCGGTCGATGCTGCGCGTGCGATTCGAGGGGGAGTGGCAGGCGCACGTCTGAGGTTGCGCCTTCCGGCAAGGGCAACGCGTGGCGAGAGCGTGCTTTGTCGATCCGACGATCGCAACGCGTTTGTTGTGTGGTGTGCAGCCACGTGTGTAGCTGAGGCAGTAGGGTATGTGCTGAGTGTAAAGTATGTGTGTGGGAGGGTGTCACGTAGAAGGGGACCGATACGTACGGCTTTAGGGCTTAGAACGTATAGGTAATGTGTAGAGGCTGTAGCTCCGAGACCCCGCGAGACAGTCACACACTCACAGAGCTCACACGACTCACGAGCGCAAAACAGAGCCGGATTAATTGAAATTGTGAGCAGTGAGGAGTGTGAGGTCTCGAGCGTCGACCTCGAGGGCTCGTCCTCAAAATGTCAGACATGTCTCATGTGCGTGTCGGATCCTCGAGAGGTCGGATCTCGTCTCGCATTGATATCAGATGGCATCATCCATCATTCATGCGCGGGCCGGCGTGTCCGCGCGCGACACCGCGAGGCGCGCCCCTGCGGCGCGCGGCAGGGCGCGCGTACGACTACGAGCCCAGGACGCGCCGCGCCGCGCCGCGGCCGCGCAGGAGCCGCAGCCGGGAGCCGGCAGCGCACTGCGCAGCGGCCACGACGACCGCCAGAGCAATACCAATAGGCCACTGCGGTCTGCGCGCTCCGCGTCTCCGCGCGCCGCTCTCTCTTGTCGTCGTCCCCATTTCTAGCCGTAAGACATCCTGGCTCGCACTATGTTTGCCGTACCACCACACACCATCATGTCACGATTACATCGAGCTCATGCGCGCTCAACTCACCTTTCGAGCACCCTCCGACCCACGCGCTCCGCCTTGAGCAGCGCAAGGCGCGCGAGTGGGATGCGGCGGGCCTGCCTTGAGATGGCCGGCGTCGCGGCGACGGTGAGGGCGAGTCGGGCGGGGCCGACGACCTCGACGACACCGAGGGCGACGGCAAGCTGGCCGCCCGACTGCGCCTCGCCGGGGATCCAGTCCGGCAGCCCCGAAAGCACCTCCGGCCCAGCGAGCGAGACGCCGGCGTAGACAGCGGCAAGCGAGGTGATCCAGACGGAAAAGTGGAAGAGAATCGCAACGAGGCCGTACTCGCGCAGCAGTTCGCCAACTCCCATGTGATCCGCGCCCGGCGCGCTCATCTGCGCGCCTGGCATACTCCGATGCTGAGCAGACGGCGGGATCAGTCCTGCTGCCTCGTTCGAGGCCGCCCGCTGCTGCGAAGCAGGGAGCGGTCCGCGGAAGTCCGAGGCAAGCGCGCTGGCGGGAGTCGGGGCAGCACGGAATGCTTGCGCTGCCGGGGGCAGCGTAAGCAGCAACAGGCTTGCCAGCCGCATCGCCACAAAGAAGCTTCTCGGCCCCGTCGGCCAGGGCATGAAAAAGAAAAAAACTTTTTCTGTCTCTCCTATATGGGAGAGAGATCCCCTGTGCCCTGTGCCCAGCCCTTTCCGGGGGGGGATGGGCCCCCCCCCCCCCCCCCTCGCTTTTGCAAAATCCTGCAAAGGTGGGCGTCTGTCCTCGACCCACAGCCCTAGCTTGGGATGTCCGTTTATTTAATTTTAATTCGTGTCCTCCTCCCATCCCTCATTTGGATTTCTGTTTTCTTTCTTTCTTTCAGTGAGAAGCTGGAGGCAGGTTGTCGCTTGACCGACGGCTTCTGAGGAAGTCGTCGCCCGCGCCTTGCCTGTCGCGTGAATCGTGCTGTGCGACCGCCTTGTGTTGTAAAATTCGTTGCCCGCAACAGACTGTACGCGTGGGTGCCCGAGGCTCTGCCCATTCTCACCCCCCCGACCGGCGTCGAACTCATCGCTCATCGGCGCGGGCTCTCTCGGCTACGGGACCGGCCCCAGCTTCGGCTGAGGGCTAAGCTGCCGAGCCCAAATCACTGTGCACTGTGAGAGTCGTGAGTTCTTGTTGGTTTCCTAAAATCTCTCTCATGTGCACGGCTCAGGAAGTCTCGTAGCGCATCCTTCCTCGTATCCAAGTATCATTCTTCGCATGGCGGACTACTTTTCTCTTTTGTTCACGACCAAGGCGAGGAGGAGGAGGACGAATACCCAGAGCCACTCGTCGTCTGTCTGGCAGCGAAAACGGAGAAGGGGAAAAGGTCCTCACACACTCTCCACACACACACGAACGACACGCGCACACATATAAGAGGCCGCGGGCGGATCCCTCGTCGGGGTTCCCGGGAAACGGGAGTGCAGAGATTTGTTTTGTTTGTAAATTTGCCGACAAGACGTGATGAATCGGCCCGATTCCGGTCGTTTCATGCATCGCGAAGTCGCATACCTTCGCCGTATTCGTTCGCCTGCGCCATTAGCGCCCCTGCCTCAGGCTGTCGGCGTCGGCTGGCCCTACGTGCTCGGACACACATGCCCGATCTTCCTCAAACCGCGCGCGAGGGCGCCCTTGCGCGGGCGCGCTCATCAAACCGCCTTTCGTTCTCGCCGGACCCGAAAATTGAGATTGAGCATAATGATGCGGAATCTGAGTTCGAGGCGGCACTCTCACGCCTCGAGGCAACGTCACCTCAGCAGGTGGCAGCGAGGACGCACTGGTCTCGGATGCCATCTGCAGACGAGATGCTGGTGATGCAGTTCTTTGAGAAGGGCGGCCGCCAGCCTATCGTGAAGAGTGCTGTCAATGCCAACCCTACGCCGCCGCTGTCTCTCTGATGACATATACTGCTGTTAAGCTGCAGACAACGCAGAGTCACAATGGAGGGAGAGGAGGACGCGCAATGCTAGTTCGCCCTGCCATCGGAGGAACGAGGGCAGTCACCGGTCCGGTGCCGGTGGCACAGTCACGCAGCGGACTCGAGGAGGCCAAGGCTGCGGTTGCAAAAGGGGTTGCTGCTGGAGTCACCAGCGGGCGAGAACACGATGCATTCCACAGGCTGACGCAGTGCTTCATCTCCGCTCTTCCCCGCCCCGGACAGCGACACTCTCCCGACTTCTCGCTGCTCTGGAGAGTCTGGAGTGAAGGCTTCCGGCGATTGGCGCCCAAGCTAAGCTTGGGGGCTGGTGAGGTGCATAGGGCGAGTGTGCGGGCGGAGAGT